AGCCTCCCCACACAGGCAGGCAGGGGGAACTCTTGAGCCATGCCCGGCCATTGAAGCACCCATCCCCTGGGCACAGTTATTGGCTCAAGGATAAACACATGACCCAAGCCAGGCCAATAGGAGTCTTCCCTGAGACTTTTGCTAGCGCTGTCTAGAATTTCTTCTTTTGAGATTGTGAGCTGTAAGGATGAGTTTGTAGCAGCTGGTGGACATCTTGCATCACAAGAAAAAGATCTGCCCAGGGGGAAAAAAAAAAGTTAAAAACAGGCAGGCATAAAATGAGAGCTGGAAAGAGAGAGTTTTAATGACGTCAGTTAAACACCCAAATGCAGCCATGACTGAGACTCCTTGGACTTCTTGTTTACATAAGCCAATTTATATCCTGCTCTGTTTATGTTTGATCAGCTTTTCTGTCACTTGCAGTCTAAAGGGTGCTGATTGAAACAGTAGGTGAGAACGCAGCCAAGCCCTGTCTGCACCTTTACATCCCAGAGATGCACAAGATTGCAGGGAGTTCCTTTTACAGGGGCCACTGTAGCCAGAATGGTGTAATGAGGCCAAGCTCCACATTCTGCTGCCCCTCTTTGAGAAGTGACAATTGGCTAATGCAAAGCAAGCTAACACTGCCAGCAGTTTACGTTCAAGAGTCCAGAATGTCACTCACACCAGAAGAGCCAAGTCTTGGCAAGCCACCCTCAACCGCATTTTCTGGAGTGTTTTGGAAGGTGGAAAGGGCCGTGATGCATTTTTCTGACCAACAATTCTGGGGTCATTTAATTACTTTTTCACTTGAAATGCGAGGTCAGAGCTATATAGATTTAGGAGAAAGGGAAAGAAATATTGCATTTTTGCAACCTCAGCATAAATAGGCATTGTTGCACATTGTTTAGCTCATTCATTTGTTAATTCAATTAAATTCAACAAACAACCTGAATGTTCATCAATAAAGTTTTGGTTGGCTAGATGCAATGGTTCATGCCTGTCATCCCAGCACTTTGGGAGGATGAGGCAGAAGGATGGCTTGAGCCTAGGAGATGGAGACCACCTGGGCAACATAGTGAGACCCTGTCTGTATGAAAAAACCTTTTACTTAATTAGCTGAATATGGAGGTGCACATGTGTAGTCCCAGCTACTCAGGAGGCTGAGGTGGGAGGATTGCTTGAGTCCAGGAGTTCAAGGTTGCAGTGAGCTATGATTGTGACACTGCACTCTGGCCTGGGCAAGAGAGTGAGACCTTATCTCTAATAATAATAATAATAATAATAATAACCATAAGGGTTTGGTTAAACAAATTATATAAATCCACAAATATGTGGATTTAAAAAAATAAGGTAGCTCTAAAATATACTGTCATAGAAATATGTCTGTCATGTATGAAGTGTATTCAGCAATTTGTAGAATGACGTGTACAGCATGGGCCTGTTTTTGCAAGTAAAACCTGGAGGCCCTATTATTTGCAGAAGACTTACCATTTATATACTTGGAACAAAAGGAAAAAAAAAACTTATCCATGAAGGCTGGGCACATTGGCTCCCATCTGTAATCCCAGTACTTTGGGAGGCTAACGCGGGTGGATCCCTTGAGCTCAGTAGTTCAAGACCAACCTGGGCAACATAGCAAGACCCATCTCTACAAAAAAATACAAAAACAAGGCCGGGCATGGTGGCTCACACCTGTAATCCCAGTACTTTGGGAGCCCGAGGTGGGCAGATCACAAAGTCAAGAGATCGAGCCCATCCTGGCCAACAAGGTGAAGCCCCACCTCTACTAAAAACACAAAAATTAGTTGGGTGTGGTGGCACGTGCCTGTAGTCCCAGCTACTCAGGAGGCTGAGGCAATATAATCACTTGAACTCAGGAGGCGGAGGTTGCAGTGAGTAGAGATCGCACCACTGCATTCCAACCTGGCAAAAAAGTGAGACTCTGCCTCAAAAAGAAAAAAAACAAAAACAGTTTAGCTAGGCATGGTGACATGCATCTGTAGTCCCAGCTACTTGGGAGGCTGAGGCTGGAGGATCGCTTGAGCCCAGGAGGCTGGGGCTGCAGAGAGCTGAGATCACACCACTGCACTCCAGCCTGGCACTCAAGACCCTGTCTCAAAAAATAAAAATAAATAACTGACCAATGAAAGGTAACTCATTCTCTTTGGGAGAAAGATTCAGTTGATGTAAACTTCAGTTCCTATCAGAGCTGTTTCCCCCCACACACAAGGAGTTCCCCTCCTAAGATGGGGTCTGCAAACTGGAAACTTGGGTGTCCTCATGGCATCAGGGCAAGGGTCTCCAGGACTCATGTCACCCTCCTGTTGGAGCATCTCATCCTGTTGGTTTCTGTCCTAGCTGCTGTTACCAGTGCAGCAAGTGGAACCTGGGGTCTGTCCTGACTTAGGCAAGGACCGGTGGGAGCTCCAGCACAGCTGGGCTGATCAGGAACCACAAGGGCATATCCACTGTGAGCTGGCTGGGACCTGAGGGTTGTCATGCCCCTGTCCAGGGTCCTGACACACAAACAACCCACCAGAGCTTTCAGTGAGTGGCCTTCTGTGTCCTCCCATTGTCAAGACGCTGGACCTTGGGGCATCCCTACCACACCACAAAGGAGACAAGCCAGTCTAGGGGCACTATCTCTGGTCTTCTCTCTGCCTAAACACCCCGTAGGAGGTTGAATATTGTCCCCAAAAAGATATGTCCACATCCTAACTCCTAGAACCTGTGAATGTGATTTGGAAAAAGCGTCTCTGCCCATGTGATGAAGGCGCTCAAGATGAGCTTATTTTGGATTATCCAGGCGAACCCAAAATCCAATGAAAAGAGCCCTTAGAAGAGAAAGTCAGAGGGAGACTTGGCACAGAGGAGGAGATGACATGGAGGCAGAGACCTGAGTTAATCTGTGGTTTACTCAGATTAATCTGTGCTGTAGTCATGAGGACAGCCAGAGAAGCTGGGAGAGGCAGGGAACAGATTGTCCTCCAGAGCCTTCAAAGAGAGCACAGCCCTGCCGACACCTGGGTCTCAGACCACCAAGGTTGTGGTCATTCACCACGTCAGCCCTCAGGAAATAGGTACACACGCCACATTGCCCTTTCTAGTCTCCTGTGGTCATGGGCCAAGCAACCTTCCAGATAGGGCTCTACAGAGTTCTAGAGTTCTAGAAGTGGGCAGA